TGGGCTGCTCCTCTATCTGGTTTGGGAGCCCCCACACCCAGTCAGCACGTTGATCTCTGCAGGGGGCCCCATTGTGGTGACTGCTGCTGGGCAGGGTCTACCCCGCTCCAACTGCTGCTTTTCCCACCAGCAGCTCCCACCAAGGGCTGCTTAGAGGTGCTGGTCCTGCTCTCCCAAAAGAATTTCTCAACACCTTCGCTTTCTGGGGGACCAACCTCTGGGTTACCGAAGGTGTCACCTCCGTTACCTTCTCTTCAGGGCTAACTTCACTGGGAAAGCAACAGGGAGCCATTCAAGTGTCTCAAGTGTCTAAGAGAAGAGCAGAGCAGGGCGATGAGCTTTGTGTCTTAACAGGAATAGGCCTGCTGCTGGAGGGGTGGGGATGGTGGGGGAGCCCGGCAGGAGGGAGGCGGGAAAGGGGAGACTGCAGCAGTGACCTCCGCGAGTCCCTTGGCCCTGAGGTGGCCGCCGAGTCCGGAGATGGCAGGACAGGCGGGCTTCAGCAGGCCATCATGGGACATGCCAGAGCCGGGGGCCGCCCCGGGGAGGGTTGGTGAGGGCGGCACATGTGGAGGGAGGACTTCATTGCTGGGTCTCGGGCCTGACTACGCCGGGCAGGACTGAGGCCCAGACCTAGAGCAGGAGGCTTGGAGGAGAACAGGTCAAACCTTCTGTTCTCGGGGGAACTTCGGGGCCATGCTGACTTTGTCTCGGAGTTTCAGTGACTCTAAAGTTATGAGAATTTGGGGACCTTCCTGCTGGTGCAGGGGTTAAGTCTCGGTACCATCAAGCTGTCACCAGCCACTGCAACACGAGTTCAATCCCTGGCCAGGGAGCTGACTCACATGGCACAGCAGACCTCTCCTGTCTCATCGCTGCTCCCCTCAGCAGTGTATCTCAGTAGATCTGCCTGTTCTGCTCCCCACTCTGTCTTTGGTGAATCCCCTCACCTCCCATACCTCTAGCCTGTACCCCAGTTCTTGTATGCATAAATAAATAAATCTCTCTAAAAAAAAAAAACCAAAAAACTAAAGTTATGAGAATTCTAGCATCTGGCTAGGGAACATCTGGCCTGGGGGAACAGCCTGGGCTCTCTTGCTTACACTGGGCTCAGTGAGTAGGATGAGGAGCTGAGGAAGCTGGGAACCCCTCCCCCCAGCAGGAGGTTCCATGTTACCCCCCAAAGTGCTCTTTGCAAAGCCAGGCATGTCCCATTACTGAAAGTCTCTGCACATTGGCCTACCTTTGTGCTGCAGCTGAAGAGTGGACATGGAGCTGCCGCCTGGTCCCCACACGAGCCAGGGCCAAAGCTGCTACCTGCATCCCCACTGGGGAGCCCCCCACAATCCTCTTCCAGAAAGGACTCAGCCGACAGTCCCCAGTCCCATCTGGGTCTGCCTCAGCTTTCCAGCTGGAGTCACACTCCTTGAGTGGCTCCCGGTCACCATCTGGCCAGGGGGTGGACAAGGACCCCACCATGTCTGCCCCCCCCCTCCGAAGCCCTTATGAGAGCTGCGGAGCAATCTCTGGGCCCCTTCCAGATACACCTCCCTCCCCTTCCCAGGGGTCACCCCACAATAAACACTTTACACTCCTCTCTCTGCCCCAGAATCCGCTCCCAGAAGACCCAACCTGCCCTACGGATTTCATTCCTTCACCTGCCAAAGGAAGAAAGTGAAATCCCTAACAGACTCAAGGAATAGTAACAAAATGATGCCATTTAAATACCTTGTCTCAACTCCAATGACTCCCTTTGTATGGAGGGTGGGGGGATACATCCGTGAATTTGCTCCTTGAAATCCACTTTCTATCTGTATCCTGCTGCCCTGGGCTCTGGAGGAGACCCTAAGGACAGCACCCAGCAGGCAGGCAGCTGGAGGCAAGAGGGTGAGGTCAGGCTCTTTATCCAGCTGGTGCCTTCCTGGCCTGGTCACAGATCAGAAGGCACAGCGCCTTGGTCAGTCCAGGCTGCAGCGTTCCTTTCTGGGGCCCCGGGCCCAGGAGTGCGCTGGCACTGCTGCTGCTCCCTAGGTGTGCTGTTCCTTCCCTTCCAGCTTCCCTTAACGCTGCCCAAACCAGGGCCAAGAAACCCTTTAACGTTCCTCCATTTCCCCCCAGTCTGCTCTGTGCCCTCTGGGCAGCCTGATGATGCAATCAAGGAGAATACGCTCAACAGCTGCCAGGACCCAACCAGAAGGCCGGCAGGTGCCCCCGAGGAGGCTCAGGCAACAGCCCTTCCTGGGTCCTGGGTGTAAGAACAAGGAAAACTCTCTCAGCACCCGCCCCCTTAAGTGTCATTGGTAAGAATGGGTCAACTGTGGCCTCGGCCTCAGGTTCCCAGAAAAGGGCCAGTGCTTGGGTGTTTTGCGGCTCCGGGTATTAGGGATGAGGGTACAGCAGCAAAGGGGACTCTATAAGTGACCCTAAAAGGGACCCACTGCATCATCTCACTGAGAAGCCCGGAGACCACCCAGAAGCCCTATGACGTGCGTCTCAGGAGAAGGTGAAAGGAGAAGGTTCGCTCTCTCCGCGCTTCTGGGTTGCTCGTGCATGGACATTCAAAGATTCCCACCTTCTAAGCTGTAACAGCAACAGAGGATCTAGGACAGAGGGCAAAAAGCACCTGTTACAAGCCCGAGTTGCTACAGCACCCTCAAGGCTACCTGCCCCCGCCCCCGTGCCTGCCCCCACGCCTGCCCCTGTCCTCGGTTGGGGACAGTGCAAAACAGGCTGCTGCAGCCGTGGGTGGGTCCAAGCTAGTTGTGGCCCTCAGGACTGAAGAGGTGACGTGAGTGTCCAGTAGACACTGATACAGTCACTGGCAACGAGAATGAGGTTACTGTGATTTAATTATTCACTTGGAAGCACACACTAAAGAATGAAGCAACTTCCATCTCACGCTACACATGAAGATTAATTCAAAGTGGAGTGAAGACTTCCCTGTAAGGCCTGGAGCCGTAGAATACATAGAAGAGCACATAGGTGACATTCCATGACATTGGCCTTGGAGAAGTATTTAGGGACTCGACTCCAGGGGACACCTCCTGTCAGCTTTCCACCCCAGTGCTGTCAAACCCCTGCCGGTCCCGGCACCAGATTCACCTTGTGCTGGCAGCCTCTTGCCTCAAAGGGAAGCGGCACATCTTTCTGGCGCACGGAAGCTGGATCAGAAGGAGCCCCCGCCGTCCACGCACTGGGATGTGCAGGATTAAGACCCCAGAGGTGGCCCTCAACCCCTGGGGGACAGGGACATCTCGATCAGTGTTCCTGCCCCTCATTGCCCAGGTGGGCGATCCTGGGAAAAACCTGTGCCCTTTCCAAGGACCCTGGTGAGTGCAAGCTCCCGTTGCCACAGAAGCAGACAGGCGTCAACTTCTTCTCCTTTCCTGTCTCCTTGTCCTAACTCCCACATCCTGCTCCCTGGGTCACCCTTTCAGAAACACCACTGGGCAGTCTAGGCTCTGCTTTCAAGGGAAGCCAAGCTGCACAACTTGCTTGCCTCACTACCCAGCAGTGGACCTGTCAGATCCTGCCCAGCCTCAGCTGAAGACTCTCCAGTGACTCATTTCCCGTGAAGGAAAAGCCAAAGTCTTGCATTGCCTGCCGGGGCCTGGTGGAATCAACCGTTCCTGTGCTTTCCTCTCTGAGGACTCCTGCTAATCTCCCCTTGCACCACTAGAGAGAGACACCCAGCACAGGCCTGCCTGGGGTCTTTGCATTAGCTGTTCCCACTGCCTGAAAGCGCTTCCTGCAGATATTTCCAAGCCTGCCCCTTCACTGCATTTGAGACAAAGCACTTCTTAGAGAGCCCTCCCTATGTAAGACAGCAACATCCGCCTCCCTGCTAGTCTCTGACCCCCTCACTTTGCGTTGATGCTTCATGGCACTTACCATCAAAACCATAAATTGTCTCTTTCTTGCTCTCTCTTTTTTTGGGGGGGGTCAATTTTCTGTCTCCCTGATGTGGCTGTAATCTCCATAAGGACAGAGACTCAAAAACTCATTTTTTTTCCCACTATGGGTAAGAGCCTGGCTAGCAGTAAGAGCTCAATGGTTATTTGTTGGCTGAAGCAAAAAAATAAAGACTGAAGAAGCAGGTAGAGCTCAGACTGGGGTCACCCTGAACCTGGCCCCTGAATAGGGTGCTGGGGGTGGGGGTGATGGCAGCTGGCCGGGGGCGGTGAAGGACATGGAGGTTGCTGGATGTCCTTGCTGAGGATTCACTTTACCTTCTAGGCTGTCGCTGGTGATTACTTGGGGGTTCTAGCTTCTGATGTTTGTCTCGAGGAGCCCCAGGTAAAGCCTCGAGGACCTCAGAGCACTAGTACACAACCCCCTAAGCCTGGTGCCCAGCGCCTGTGCAGAGGGCGTTCGCCCCTCCAGGTCCCGAGGCCCGCGAGTGGTGAGCGACCCCTCCGAGGGTGGCCAGCGGCTCAGCAGGGACGCGCCCTCAGCTGCTGAAAGACCCTGCAGCCTAGCGGGTGGCTGGAGAGCACAGAGATCCTGGGAGGGGCTGCGGGCGACCTGCAGGACGGGCCTGCAGGGGGTCGGGCTGAGCACCCCCTCCACCGGGCCTGCCACCTGGACGGGGCAGGGGTGGGGCCAGGCTCGGTCTCTCCTGCAGCGCTAGGCACCCATTAGTCTTTGCGGGGACCAGGGCGCTCCGGGGAAGCAGCCGCCGCGCCGCGCTAGCCTCTGGGGGGGGCACCCCTCGCCCTGCGGGGCGGCCGGGCCCCTCCTGCGGCTCCCACCCGGGCGCTGCAGGATTCCGGAGCGGGAGCTGCGGCGCAGGACGGAAGAGGTTAAGGCGCCTCCGCCGCGAATGCTAATGGTGGAGGTGATGTCAGTGGGCGCTGCGAGGCGCGGGCGGGAGCGCGGCGGGGCTCGCGCGCGGCAGGGACTGCCGGAGGGGCCCCTCGCGGACTGCGGGGCTCCGGCGCCCCGACTGCCGCAGCCTGCGTGGGCGGCGGGCGGGCGAGCTGGCCACCCGCGCCCGCGCCATGGACCTGCAAGCCTCGCCGCTGCCCCCCGGCCCCAACGCCAGCAACACCTCGGACGGCCCGGACAACCTCACCTTGGCCGGTGAGTCGCGCCGGAGCGAGCCCTGAGCTCTCCGCGCCGGGGTGGCAGTCGGGGCTCACCTCCGAGTCAGACCGCTCCGGAAACTTTATTTCAGTTCTTGGGGTGAGGCCGGCAGTCCGCTGCCGGGAGGGAGGGGCGCCGGGGCTGGCGCAGGAGGGGCAGGAGCGGGAAGCCGGCAAAGGCTCACTCAGAAGTGGCCGGACGGTGGCCAGCGCCGGGCGAGGGCTGGCTGGGGCGCCCGGCCGTGCCGTGCGGGGGACACGACCGCAGGGAAGGCGAGGGCAGCGGCCGAGGCCCGGCTGGGGGGCGCGGGGGCTCGCTCGTGCCCCCACGGCCTTCCCGCCCTCCCCGGGGCTGCGCGGTGGGCACCTGCCGGCCTCCTGCCCGGGAGGGGAGGGAGGGCCGGGCCGCTGCCCGCAGGGGAGGGGGTGAAGTTTCCCGGGGCAGAGGCTTCCTCGTTCCCAGGGCTGAGGTGCGCGGATTCCAGCTTTGAAGGAGACAGGAAGGAAGGGGGAGAGGAAGGTTTGCGGGAGAAAATTCTCAGGAGGCTGCACCCCGCAGCTTCGGTCTCTGCTGGCCGGGAAGCCCAGACCCAGAAGACGCAGCAGGGATTCCCTGACAGGCAGGCAGGAGAGGGGGGACCGCAGCCCCTGGAAGACAGTCACCCCCAGAGATGCCCAGGAGTCAGTGCTCAGCCTCCCACCAGCAACTGCTAAAGGGAAATGATCAGGGCTGCAAACTGGAAAAGAGAAAGCACACGCCTGCTTGCTTGCGTGAACACACACGCGCACACACACGCACACACACTTTTGTGTCCTTCTGGCTATTTTGATGAGGTTTCCTGCTGAAGTCAGGGGCTCGCTGAGTAATTCTCTGCAGACAGCTGTGACTTTTTACTCTGCGCCTTCTGAGAAAATGCAGCAGGTGGAGAGCTGGGCCCTTGGGCTAACAGGTGGTGCGGGAGAACCTGGTAGGATAAACCAGGGAACGGGCGGAGGAAGCCAGGGGACAGGATTAGCAACAGTGGGGAGAGGAAGATTCCAGATGAACGGGGCACAGAGCTGAACTAGGAGGGCCGAGGAACAGGTGAGCAGCACGTGGCTGGACACGGGGCGCACTCCCGGGAAGTTGGCCCCTAGAAAGCCGGGTGCCCGGGGGTCCCCATCTGCCCCCTCTGTTCCCAGGGCCGCCTCCCCGCACAGGGAGCGTCTCCTACGTTAACATCATCATGCCTTCCGTGTTCGGCACCATCTGCCTCCTGGGCATCGTGGGGAACTCCGCCGTCATCTTCGCTGTGGTCAAGAAGTCCAAGCTCCGCTGGTGCAGCAATGTCCCCGACATCTTCATCATCAACCTCTCCGTGGTGGACCTCCTCTTCCTCCTGGGCATGCCCTTCATGATCCACCAGCTCATGGGCAATGGGGTCTGGCACTTTGGAGAGACCATGTGCACACTCATCACGGCCATGGACGCCAACAGCCAGTTCACCAGCACCTACATCCTGACCGCCATGGCCATCGACCGCTACCTGGCCACCGTCCACCCCATCTCCTCCACCAAGTTCCGGAAGCCCTCCATCGCCACTCTGGTCATCTGCCTCCTGTGGGCCCTCTCCTTCATCAGCATCACCCCCGTGTGGCTCTACGCCAGGCTGATCCCCTTCCCGGGGGGCACTGTGGGCTGCGGCATCCGCCTGCCCAACCCCGACACTGACCTCTACTGGTTCACCCTGTACCAGTTTTTCCTGGCCTTCGCCCTGCCCTTCGTGGTCATCACGGCCGCGTACGTGAGGATCCTGCAGCGCATGACGTCCTCGGTGGCCCCCGCCTCGCAACGCAGCATCCGGCTGCGGACAAAGAAGGTGACCCGCACAGCCATCGCCATCTGCCTGGTCTTCTTTGTGTGCTGGGCGCCCTACTACGTGCTGCAGCTGACCCAGCTGTCCATCAGCCGCCCCACGCTCACCTTTGTCTACCTGTACAACGCGGCCATCAGCCTGGGCTACGCCAATAGCTGCCTCAACCCCTTCGTGTACATAGTGCTCTGCGAGACCTTCCGGAAACGCCTGGCCCTGTCCGTGAAGCCTGCGGCCCAGGGGCAGCTCCGCACGGTCAGCAACGCCCAGACCGCTGACGAGGAGAGGACAGAGAGCAAGGGCACCTGACGGCCCCCTGCCACGCGGGCAGCTCCGAGTCGGGACACCACAGCCAACCACAGGCCACGGGGAGAGCGGCTGAGACACCCCAGACCAAGCCGGTTGGCTGCAGGGAGGCTGGGTGGTGAGGGGCTATTGTGATGACAACCATTCCCGGGGCCCACAAATTGCTGGGGAGGCTGGGGCCAGGTCTGGGACTTCGAACATCAGAAATCCCCTTGGCAGAGAGGGACGAGCTCTTTGGGCGGAACAGAAACCGAGCAAGAAGGAATTTTGGGTTTGAAAATAGGGGGGCGCCCTCCGTCTGCTGGCTGCCCGGTGCGAAAGGTGTACTGGAAATCAGGGCCAATGTGGGCAGCAGCCACACCACCTAGGGCCCTCGGGTAGGTGAGGGGTGGGGGATGGCCTCAGTGCTCTTTCCTGTCTCTCCTTGGTTTGCGGAGGGCAGCCTGTCTCCCAGCCGGAGGGTGAGGAGAAGCGAAGTGAGCTGTCTCTGCGTTCCCGCCCTTGCTGTCCATTTCTCTTTATTTCTAGGGGATGCATGTTTATTGGGGGGGCGATGAGGGCTCTGAGCCCACAGGAGTACAAGCCCAATTTGCTAGGCCAGCCACTGAAAATGCCAAAGCTCTCTGGGGTGGGGTCCTGAAGTTAAGAAAAATGGGGGTGGGGTGGAGACATTGTCCTCTTGTGGCCCATTTGTCACCTGCCGGATCCTGAGCGAGTGCCCACTGCATCCTGCAGGTGTGGGGTGGCCCCGATGCCTGGGGCGTTGGCGTCCTCTTTTGCTCTGGCCTTTCTTCTCCCAATTAAAAACAAATAAAGGAAAATCTGCACCCACAGCATCCGATGCTCGTGTCTAATTGCTTGGGCTTTCGTGGGGTGGGTGTGCGCGGGAGTGCGGCAGGAAAGGGAGAGAGAGGTCCCTTGGCCTTAGCCGTGAAGCTACACAGGCTGCAGACTCGGGCTGCGTGTTAGGAAGAAGCAGGGATCTGCTTGTGTAGACCCACAGGGAGGGTTGGGCGACACGACCGACGCGTTCGCGAGAATCCATTGGATTGCAGTCGTGCTGCTGGGCTTGACTCAGGACTCAGCTTCCCGGCTCCTTCTCAAAAGCACTGGTTGGCACTGGTTGGCCCCTCCAGCCCCAGCTCCCCCGCCCCCCACCGTGCCCCCCCCCCCTGCTGAGTCACCTGTGCGGTGCTGCTGGGGAGCGCAGCCGGCGGGAGGAGAGCAGGCAGAAGGGCGCTGGGCGGCGGCCAAGGCTGCTGCTGCCCGGCTTCTCCCAGCTCGGGAGTGGTCGCGGGAGCCCGGGGTCCCCACCAGCTACCAGCCACGCGCAGCAGAGTGCAGGTTCCTCACCGGCCCAGACGCACCCTTCAAGCAGGCGCCTCCTTACCACCTCTTTCTGCTGGTTGTTTCCACCGCAGAGTTACAGCGGGTAGTCTGGAAAACTCGGGCTGCTTCTTGGGGTCCTGGGGAGCCCTTTTTCAGATCATCAACAATAGCATTTCTTGGCTCGTGCATTCCACTCCCCCCAGATCTGGGGCTGCGGGGACACTGATGGTTCATTTTCCTTACTTGCTGCTAACAGGGGGTTGTAGCTGCTTCAAATAAGCCCCGAATCTATTTCAGACGCCCGAGCGTGCGCGCGCTCTCTTAGGGGGCCTTAGACGGCTCCTGCCCACCGTTCCAGAAAAGGTTGTCCTGCCTCTGCCTTGCCTGCGACAGGCTTCCCAGGGGTCAGTGTCCACCGCCCCCTGCCCCTCTGGGCCGATAGGTAGGTGAGACGGCCCCGCCCCAGAAGAGCACCTGGCCAAGTCCGCCGCTCGCGGGGGTTGGGGGGGGGGGGGGGGGGCAGGCACTGGACCCCCTGAGGGTTCCAGCCACCAGTCAGCTCCTAGGGACCCCAGGAGTCCGACCTGCAGCTCTCCACCCAGGACAGAACATGGAAGCGAAGCAAGTGGGTGCGGGCAGGAGAGCGAGGGTGGAATGTCAACAGAAGTGAGGCAGAGGGGAGAGGAGGCGAAATCCCAGGGGGAGACCAGGAGGCGGGGAAGGGGAAGGGGTGCAGGGAGGTTCCAAAAGGTGGGGAGATTCTAACGGGGGTGAGGGCGGGGGAACTGGGGCTCACACTTCTTTCCCCAGCGGGATCCCAATGACCTGAACACACCTGAGCCCAGGATGATCCCAATGACCTGAACACACCTGAGCCCAGGATGAGAGTGAGCCGGGGGCGGCTGGCAGGGCCATCACCATGATGGGGTCGGAGGTGGGAGGGTGCGAGGGTCTGAAGAGTGAGGGGCTCTTTCCTCCTCATTCAGCCTGGGGGTCGTGGGGCCTCTGTGAGAGCAGCCAGGAAGGGGCCGTCCCTCCGGTGTCATCCCAGCCAGACATCCAGGAAAGGGGAGGGTCCAGGTCCGCCCCCTCCCGGGAAGGGTGGAGCTGGGCAGGAGGGGAAGCTGGAACAACCTGGAAGAAGGAAAAGGGAAGGAAAAGTAAGAGAAGACCTGGAGGAGGCCACGGAGCAGAGAGGCACGTGAAGCAGCAGCCGCACTTGCTTCTCGGCCCTGCACTTGAACCAGGGACGTGGGGGACACAGAGGAGACACTTGGAAGAGACTGGGGGAGAGCCCGCGGCACCCCGCGGCAGCGCTGTCGGGACGTGTGTGCTGATGTTGCTCTTTGATTCCAGACTTGCCCTTTCACCCGGGTCCCGCCAGGAGGTGCCTTAGCCCGGGCTTCCCCCTCTCAGTGGCCCCCCTTTGGGCCTTGGACTGACCCATCTGACCCTGTTTGTCTGGGAATTTGCCCACCAGGGGTTGGGTAACTTTGGGTGTTTCATGGGGAAACTATTTTAACTATTTTTTTCTCTTCTCTTGACTGCACACTAATTGCATTAAAGTTCTTTCTTATGAAAAGGTCTTATGCACTAAGTGTATGCTTGTCTTTATGCAGATGGCAGAACCCATTTAGAGCAGGCAGGTTTAGAGATCCTGGGGTGCCTTCATCCTGCCCGCTAACAGAATGACTGATGTCCTTGCACCTGTTCCCTGTGCTCACCTTATAAATCTCACGCTCCCTCAACCACATCCTCAGTATAGTCCCACCAGGAGCTACCTCCACCCACTGGGAGGCGGTCTCTAAAGCCCCTCATAGCCTGCGGGTTCCACAGTCTCGGGACTCAGCACCTCACAAGTCAGGCAAAGCAAATTCCTTCTGCTCGTTGACATTCCCCAAAGATATAATGACACAAACACCAAACAGAGGATGAGCAGTGATATTTCTGTTGGGTTTATTCCCCACCTCATCAGCTTTTATTTCTGTTATTGTAGTAAATATATAAACAAACTATACATTTAAAAATAGTTGATATGTGTGATTTACCACAATAAATATAAATGTAACATAAAATGGACAATTTAACTACTTTTTAAAAAAGATTTATTCATTTATGCATATAAAAACTGGGGTATAGGCCAGAGGTGTGGGGGGTGAGAGGATCCACCAGAGACTGCAGTGGCTGCGGATAACTTCATAGGTTGCGTCTTAACCCCTTGTGCCACCAGGAAGGCCCTATTTAACTACTTTCTAGTCCTTGATTCATAGACAGAAGCACATCTGCCTTATCGTGTGTCCCACCCCCGCCCCTCCAGGATTGTTTATCATCCCCAGCTGAAACCCTCTGCCCAGGAGACACTGATTTCCCAACTCTTCCCTCCACAGTCTCTGGCAACCACCTTCGACTCTCTGGGACCTGACTGTGACCTTGAGGACTCTGAGGTCCTCAGAGGGCTTCAATTAGCATCCTGTCTTCAAGGTTCGGTGTCAATACTTCCTTCCTTTTTTAATATACATTTTTTAAAGATTTATTTATTCATGCATACAAGAACTGGGGTACAAGCCAGAGGTGTGGGGGGTGAGACAATTCACCAGAGACAGAGTGGGCAACAGAACAGGCAGACTGACTGAAGTACACTGCTGAGGGGAGCAGGTGGCGAGTCAGGAGAGGTCTGCTGCACCATGTGGGTAGCTCCCTGGCTGGGGATCGAACTCCCGCTGCAGAGGCTGATGATAGCTTCATAGGTTGCGTCTTAACCACTTGCACCACCAGCAAGGCCCAACACTTTGTTCCTTTTTAATTTTTTAATTTTTTTTTTTATAGAGGCATGTTTTATTTATTTATTTATTTGTTTGTTTGTTTGTTTTCTTGTTTATACATGCACTGGGTATAGTCAGAAGCGCGGGAGGGTGAGAGAATTCACCAGAGCCAGAGCGGGGAGCAGAGCAGGCAGAAGGACCGAAGGACACTGCTGAGGGGAGCAGCGGGCGGCAGGAGAGGTCTGCGCGCCATGTGGGACCCTCCTCCGGTGGCCGGGAGCAGCCGGGGATTGAACCGGCGCTGCAGAGGCTGCGGGCAGCTTCGCAACCCAGCGCTCAACCGCTGCGCCACCGGGGAGGCCCACTTTGTTCCTTTTTAAAGCTGAGTAATATTCCACTGTATGTTTACCCTCCCTTTGCTTGTCCCATGCACCTGCTGGTGCCCATTTCAGCCAATTCTACCTCTTTGGCCATTGTGAGTATCACCACTATGACCAAAGGTGTACAAACATCTGCTGGAAGATCTGCTTTGAATTCCTTTGTTTCCTTTACCCAGATCAGTGGAACTACTGATCATACGGACATTCCATGCTTGACTTTTCGAGGAGCTGCCATACTGTTTTCCACCATTTGAGATTACTGCCAGCAGTGACAGCACTTTCAGTTTCTCTGCACTCATTTTTAAAAATATTTATTTATTTATGCATACAAGAGCTGAGGTGTAGGCCAGAGGTGTATGGGGTGAGAGGGATTCATCAGAGACAGAGTGGGGAACAGAACAGATGGATCAACTGAAATACACTGCTGAGGGGAGCAGCAGGGAGACAGGAGAGGTCTGCCGTGCCATGTGGGTAGCTCCCTGGCTGGTAGAGATCGAACTCAAGTTGCAGTGGCTGCAGACAGCTTTATAGGTTGTGTCTTAACACTTGCGCTACCAGGGAGGCCCAATGTGAAGTGGTTTTGAGCCACATCTTCCTAATGACTAGTGCTGCTGAGCATTTTTTCATGTATTTATTGGTCTTCTTTGTTTATCTTCTTTGGAGAAATGTCTCTTCAAAAGCCCTTTGCCCATTTTAAAACTGCATACGTTTTTGTTAGCAATCATATTTCCACTCAACTCAAAGTGGCAATAATAGGTTCTTATGACTAAGAAAAAAATTATTTTTAACTAGACTCTTCCTCCATGGCATTTTTCTTTGTTTTATTGAGATGGAGCAGAACACATTTCGGGCAGTGGGAAACGCCTGAGCAGATATGGAGACGTGGGAAGGAAGGGTGTATTTAGGGAACTTTGGCGTTATTGATGACACGCCCTCCCCATACGGCCTTTCTCCATTATGAAACCCCCAGGCGATGGGTCCTGACTAGCTGAACCCATCAGACAGCCTGGCCTCCAGCTTCCCTAGCCTCCCTTGGGGCTAAAGGACACAGGGTGTGCAGTTTGGATCTCAGGACCTAAGCAGAAGTCTGCTGTGGGGGCTTCTGGGAAAAGTTTCGCTTTCCTGATCAGCGAGAATGAATGAGCCTGGTAGCATCTGCTCTCCTCTTTTCTCCCTGCCTTGAATGCAGATGCATCATCTG